GAACCTGTTGGTACTGAAGTTGGTGGAACTGGAGAAGAGACAGTGGTGTTGAGTGATACTGTAATGGGGCCGAGTGGTACAGTTGTGGTTCCTTTTGCTGTTGGCAGTGCTGGACTTTTGGAAAGAAGTGTAGTGCTTTCAGTCGTTGTAGATTCCTTCACTGTTGAGGTTGAACCTGTTGTTTTTTGTGGAGGCGTAAGGGTGGTGCTTATATTTGGACCAGTTTGTGCTGATGTTGTACCAGCTGACCCTGCTGGTATAGATGTTGCAGGAGTTGGGGGAGAAGAAGTGGAGGGGACTGATACTGAAGTGGGTTCTGCGGGTACAGGCGTGGTTCTTTGTGATTCTGGCAGAGCTAGACTTGTATAAAGTAGTGTCCGGCTTTCTGTTATTGTAGATTCTTTAAGTGTTGATGTTAAACCTGTTGTCATTTTTGGTGGTGTAACGGTAGTTGAACCTTCTTCAGTTCTTGTAGTAGTTGGATTTGAAATTGTTTTTGATTTAACTGTAGTAGTTGTTGCTGTTGGATATTCATTAATGGTGACTAATGTGGTGAATGGTGAAGACACACATGGGAGATAACTACAACATAGTATTTTGATCTCGTAGTTGTCGCAGATTGATGTAGTCTGGTCCTCATTATTACATATGAGTCCAATATTTTTGCTACATGTCACCGTTTGGTTCAGGTCTTTTAGTGGAGTCTCAGGGTACTGTGTTGCTCTGCATTCAACATCTCTTGGATGTTTGCAAACTCTATAGCCCTTTTGTCTTAGATTGTCAAATGTTTCAAAATCTCCAGTTTTGGAACCTTCGGCTGGAGAGCTGATGTCGTACCATGCTGACCAGTGGCATTCTTCATGAACACATACAGTTGTAACTGGTGGCATCATTGTTGTTCCTGTGGTACAAAGAAAAAAATGCAGTTGCTTAGCCTCAGATTCGGAATCCTTTTTAATTATGAGGGTCTAATACTTAGTTAGAAGTTCTACATTTGGAAAGATTGGGGCAATTGTCTTGCACAGTTTAATTTAAGACTGCAGTGGTGACCTTTATTATCTTATATTGTCATCTGGTACAGTGTTTTGGAAGAAAAATTTTGATCTCCTGTGTGAGTGTATGTAGTATCAAAGTTTAATGTGATTTACAGTCTGTTTCTTTCTGATTTTGTAGTTACAGATATTCAAAATGATCTTTATGTATCAGGTTGCAAGATATAAAGGATGTGTGTGAATTTTTAAGATTCACTGTGTAGAATGTAAGGAAAGGAGAGCCTGAATTTCCACCGTATTATTTCTTTTGTAGTTATTTACAATTGAAAATTAAAATGGTACACTCACTTCATCGTAAATACACAAGAAACAAGTCAAAAGGAATCAAGACTGTCATATTTGTAACCCTTTTCTTTATTTTAATCTAGGCTTCTATAGCATCTTGATATCATTGAGACGTTTTTGTTGAATAAATACCATTATCTGCCCAGTATGGCTGCTTCTGTTTAATCTAACACTGAATTAATCACGTTATGTTCATTAGATTACTGAATGATGCTATGGATATATTTGCAAGTTTTGCATGTTTAGTATGATACAGTAACTGCAGGACCAAGCAGAAATAAATGAGCTTTTTAGGAGAGATTACTGCAAGATTACAGAAATCGTTAGCAATGAGGAAGAGTGTCAAAGGACATACTGAAATATCTTGAAAGTTCCTTGGATTTTTTTAGCTTTAGGTTTTTTTTTTTGGTGCTTAGTTGATTTTAAAATGGTTGCTATTCGTTGTCCACTATATATTTAAGGAGATGTAGTAAAGATACCCCTCTATCTAGAAGTCTCTGGGAGATGTACTTAGAGGTGCTTTCCCTCATGCTCATGACAGTCAGTGATCCCCCAGGCATAAAGATGAATTAGACACACTACCTTTCCTCTGGGAGCCATTAATGGTATTGTTACCCAGGTGAACAGTGGGGGCACTGAGGGAGAGAATTTGTAGACGCTGACGTGGTATCTCTCTACACTAGCAATGCAAAGAATCCTCAGGGGATAGCACTGCTAGTTGTGTTTCTATTTTTGTAGCAGTTACCAACTTATAGTACACGCATGTACTATTAGAGGCCCTTACCCCCAGGCATGCAAAGATTTTTTTCAGCTATTTTGAGAAATGCACAGAAATACCTGCAGAACTTGTAGGTTGAACTGTACTAAATGTAAACGGGGTGGTGGTTGTAATTCCACTGCATTCAAATACTTCTCTGTTTATTGTTCCATTGATGTCACAAGTTGCACTCATACACCCTCCAATCCCATCTGTGGTGTTATAAATAACATCCTTATATTTATATGTGTGCCCTTCATAGTAGCAATAACATGCTGTAAAACAGAAGAGATGGAATGGCATTGCCAGTTAACCATCAAATACAACAAAAGCTCAAGGATTTGTTTGCATTCATAAATCTTCTTTGCCAACTTACCTTCAGCATCAAACGTGCACTCTGTGCCTTCCATTGTGCATGTACTGAAAGAAATAACAGAGAGTAGAAATGAGAGACTGAAGATGCATGAAAAGGGATCAACTCCTTTTACTGTTATGGTATCTCTACTAAATTTCTCATCATAATCCAGGGAGAAGTTCTTCTGAATTGGGGTTTGACTGAACTACTTCTCTAGATTCTAGCTAGGCAGCTCTGATTAAAGTACCTCTTCAAAGGTGAATAGCTAAGAGGAGGGTGCTGCTCCCTGTCCACCATATACACAGCATGTCCTGCTTAGAAGCTGTTTTTTTTTCTTCCTCCCTACAGTCAATTCTGACATTGGAGCCTCATGGATCAGAGGGAGGTCAAGAAGTGGGTCCATTCTTTCCCCCATTACCTTACTGTTAGATCAATCTCTTTGTATGCCTCCCCCTTTGAGCCAGTTCATGTTAGCCACCCTGAGTGCCCTTCTTTTACCCAATCATCTCCCTGAAATCAGACCTCAGCTCCTTTATGAGAATCATAGAATCATAGAATACTAGGACTGGAAGGGACCTCAAGAAGTCATCAAGTCCAGTCCCCTGTCCCCATGGCAGAACCAAATACTGTCTAGACCATCCCTGATAGACATTTATCTAACCTACTCTTAAATATCTCCAGAGATGGGGATTCCACAATCTCCCTGGGCAATTTATTCCAGTGTTTAACTACCCTGACAGTTAGGAACTTTTTCCTAATGTCCAACCTAAACCTACCTTGCTACAGTTTAAGCCCATTGCTTCTTGTTCTATCTTCAGAGGCCAAGATGAACACATTTTCTCCCTCCTCCTTATGACACCCTTTTAGGTACCTGAAAATGGCTATCATGTCCCCCCTCAGTCTTCTCTTTTCTAAACTAAACAAACCCAATTCCTTCAGCCTTCCCTCACAGGTCATGTTCTCTAGACCTTTAATCATTCTTGTTGCTCTTCTCTGGACCCTCTCCAATTTCTCCACATCTTTCTTGAAATGCGGTGCCCAGAACTGGACACAATACTCCAACTGAGGCCTGATCAGCGCAGAGTAGAGCGAAAGAATGACTTCTCAAGTCTTGCTCACAACACACCTGTTAATGCGTCCCAGAATCACGTTTGCTTTTTTTGCAATAGCATCACACTGCTGACTCATATTCAGCTTGTGGTCCACTATAACCCCTAGATCCCTTTCTGCCGTACTCCTTTCTAGACAGTTGCTTCCCAGTCTGTATGTGTGAAACTGATTGTTCCTTCCTAAATGGAGCACTTTACATTTGTCTTTATTAATCTTCATCCTGTTTACCTCAGACCATTTCTCCAATTTGTCCAGATCATTTTGAATTATGACCCTATCCTCCAGAGTAGTCACAACACCTCCCGGCTTGGTATCATCTGCAAACTTAATAAGTGTATTTTCTTAAGAATGAAGCCCAAAACCATGGGAAACTAAAGGAACGAATTTTTAGAGAGGTCACTTGTCACATTTGTCACTCTTCCAATGATTTTTTTGGCCGTAAGGCTAAGAAAACTGAATATTGGCTCATGTCAGTTATGAATTATATGTGGACATTGATAGATAGATAGATTTCTATCCATCCATCCATCCATCCATCCATCCATCCATCCATCCATCCATCCATCAATCTTATTTATTTATTTATTTAAGAGGTTTGTATTTGTCTGTGTGTCTGTCTGCAAGTCCATATGTTCAAGAACTCCTCCTAAAAGGTAAGAGCTAGGACCACCAGATTTGGTATTCATCTTCCTTTTCTCCTACCTTAAGCAAAGTTGGGGTTTGGTTGGGCCAGGACAATAAGAAGCCCTGGAAAAGGGTCTGTTTTCCATACCATGCAAAGGGGGAGGGTTTACTGTTCAGAAGGATGAAATAATAAGAGTGGCCACCAAGGAAGTAGCCAGCAGGGCTGGGGCTCTGCCATCTTGCCTGCCAGAACAGCAGGTAAGTAGCCTCCCTTCCCTGAACCCTTTTCCTCATCCCAGGGCTCATCCAGACTATGCTAGAGTGTCGAAAAAGGATATGGAAATTCCGTGGGAATCTGCATATCTTCTTCCAGTCTCACTTTCGAAACAGAGATCGCTTTTTCAGTGACCTCCCCCTCGCCTTTGTCGAAAAGCCACGTAAACCTCCTTTTTTGAGAGGGTGAGATCAGAAGTGCAGGGAATTTGCATATCTTCTTTCGACTGTTTCCCCGTAGTCTAGATGAGCCCTTAGAGACTAACAATTGAACTTTGGTTTGTAGGGAGAGGGTCATAGTTTAAAGCACTGGGGAGGGTTTTAGCCACGATAAGCCAGAGAGTTTTACTGGCAAGCATACAATTAGAGTCCTCTGAGGCTTCTTGGAAATAGGGACTGAATCATTTACTCTGGACAGGATCTAGCCTTACTTTAAATTTTGAAAGCTCTGCTCAAAAGTCATATGAAATAGTAATAGAATTGCTCACAAGTAATATGAAAACTGGCATGTGGCAATAAGGGATCATTTTTGCACAGAGACCATGAACTCACCTTACTCTGGGTCTGTGGCCCACAACTTTCAAAAGCTGCTTTCAAAAGTGAGATCAGAAGAAGATATGCAAATTCCCATGGAATTTGCATATCCTTTTTCGACACTTTAGCATAGTCTAGATGAGCCCCCAGAGTAAAAGTCCCTGGTAGCCAGGAGACTGGGGTGTGTGTGTGTGTCAAAAAAGACTCCTGGCAGCAGGGTGGGGTGAGCTGAGGGGGAGCTAGAGGGAAGAGAAAAGGCCACTGGCAGCTGGGGGTGGGTCATTGGGGGCAGAGGAAAGGCTTCTGGCAGCCAGGGGGAGTTGGCTGGAGAGAGAGAAAAGTGTGTGTGTGTGTGTGTGTGTGTGTGTGTGTGTGTGTGTGTGTGTGTGTGTGTGTGTGTGGAGGGGGATAGAAAAGGCCCAATGGGACCTCTTGTCCTGAGTCCCTCCTCAACCCCTACCCTCATTCTCTCATCCCCCACCCTCTGCCTCCTGCACTGTCCCCCCATATCCTCAAGGCCCTGCCCTGACTGCTGCATTCCTCCAAACCATCAACCCCCGACCTGAAGGATCCAGGCAATGCCAGGTATGTCTGCTAATATTATATATTATATAAATTATAGATATTATAAAATCAGGTTTGTATTATTCTGCACTCTTATATCATAGTGATGAGTGCCCTTATAGGAATATCACCAAGATATAGGAATATAGAACTGAACAAACCTATTTATAAAATACACAGTATTTTTTCTGTCCTACTAAGATGAAGAATTTATTGTGATAATCAGAACAAATTCAACAGAATCCAAAATTGATTCCACAGAATAGAATTGCTCGCAAGTAATATGAAAACTGGCTTGTGACAATAAGGGATCATTTTTGAATAGAGACCATGAACTCACCTTACTCTAACTCTGAGGCCCACAGCTTTCAAAAGCTGCTTTTGATCTTTTCCCCTTAACACCATCAGACTCTATGTTATATCTTACCATAACTGACAGTTGTCCCTCAAGTAGAAGCTCCCGCCTGGTTCGTGGTAGTTTCCTTCAGCATCATAACAACCACACGTATCAACACACTTCATTTCATCCTCATTGAAATATGGCTTGTTTGCAGGACAGTTTGGATAGCAGCCTGAACCAAAACAAATCGAAAGTTTAAGCTAGAACTTTACACAGAAGTCTCAGAAGGGTAGCCATATTAGTCTATAACTTTAAAAACAAAGAATAGTCCCGTGGCACCTTAGAGACTAACAAAAATGTATATAGAGTCCCATATGGATGCTAAAACAGTATGTCTAAATCATATGTTTGGTCATTCACATCAATAGATTTGCAAACAATTGCAGATTTGAGCCCCAAAATTCAGGCTTCGATGATCTTCCATTTAGTGGGTTTTGCCTTGAAAAGCTCATGATACTAGTCTTTAAAGGTGCCACAGGGCTACTTGTTTTTTCACAGGGGGTAATTCCTTGTCATTTTTCTTTTTGGGGTTATATTTCTCAGGTCCAAGAGCTTTCCAAATTTCTTCTCCTTCCCCTGGCTCAATCTCTTTGGCTTGCCTTCCTTATAGTGTGATAGGTCCTTCCAAATAAAAGGGAAACTGCTTCTGCTAGGTTCTTGTTAATGCCTCCTTTCTTGGTATTATTATGTAGCAAACAAGGCTCCTATAGTTCCCTTCATATGTGGATGTGATGTGAGGCTATGTACCAAGATACTAATACAGTTCTCTCATGCAGCATACAGGGTATTACTATTAGGAGATTCCACAGGGACTGATTCCTACAAATGTTTTCAAATGTTGTAGACCAAACTTTCCTCACTTATGCCAATGCAACCCATGGAAGAAGATGAGAGAGTATGGGGTGTATCTGAAGGGAGAATTTGGTCCAACAGACTGAGCTGAAAAAACATGATAACCAGTTGTCTACCGCAAGTGATATATACTGGGTGCCTGATCCTTTTACCTTCTAAGCCTGGTAACTTATGAAGGCATATTCCACTTGGATTCCTACAGGTCTTCATGCAGGGGGCTCCACAAGGTTTGTAGTGCCAATCACATCCTCCTTTTACGTTGTAATAATCACAGAACATAGCTAAGGGGAAACAGGAAAATAGACATGTTCAGAATAAAATGCCTTGGTGTTTTGTTCAGAACCCTCCATTTTACCACTACGGGTATGTCTATGCTGAAATAATATCTTATTTCGATTATATTTTGAAATAGGCTATTTTGAAATTTGATGTGTCTACACAGCACCCAAATTTCAAAATAACACACACTATTTCAAGACATCTCTTATCCCTTGTGCAACAAGGTTTGCAGGGATGCCAAGATAGCGTGTCTGCTATATTTTGCAATAGTGGACACATTCAAAAGATGCGGGGTAGCTTTTTCGGGATACCTCTGATATCCCAAAATAGCATACCCTACCATGCTATTTGGATAGTCCTGAAAGTCATGAATCAAGAGCTGAAACTTTATAATTGTCAACCCTGTTTGACATGAAACACAGGATTGAGAACAAGTAGTTATTGTACATTTAATACCATAGGCTATGTCTACACTAGCCACCCTAGTTCGAACTAGGGTGGCTAATGTAGTCATTCGAACTTGCAAATAAAGCCTGGGATTTAAATATCCTGGGCTTTATTTGCATGTTCCCGGGTGCTGCCATTTTTAAATGCCTCATAGTTTGAACTCCCTGCCTGCGGCTACACACGACACGGGCTAAGTAGTTCGAACTAAAGCCCCTAATTCGGACTACCATTACTCCTCTTGAGGAATTACTCCTGATGTTTTAATCCTGGGCCTCATTTGCAAGTTCGAAAGACTATATTAGCCACCCTAGTTTGAACTAGGGTGGCTAGTGTAGACATACCCGTAATTAATGACATTCTCAAAACAATTGCTATGAAATGGACACATCATTTTTTCAATTTCCATTGAACTATAGGCAAATACTCACGACAGATTGAGGGAGTTCTCCAGGCTATACAAACACCAAATTCACTGCATGCTTGAGCATATGCAGCTACTGCTGTGCAGAAGCATTCACAATCTCCCCCAGTGTCACAGGCACAAGCATCAGCCACACATTCTTCATAATACTTAGCTGGGTTAATCTGTTAGACCAAGAAAACAGTAAGTGTAAGTTTTACTTTCTTCAGGTTCATCTTGCTTTTCCAGGGTAAGTCTTCTAGAATCTTAACATCCCACAACAAGGCAAAATCTGTAATGTTCATTTTCTTGTACTTGTATTGCTAGACAAACTATGCCCGGGTTTCCCATGTGGATGCTAAAACAGTATGTCTAAATCATATATTTGGTCATTCACATCAGCAGATTTGCAAACAATTGCAGATTTGAGCCCCGAAATACGGGCTTTGAGCAGGTAGGCAACTATGTTTGGAAATTAGGGTTTGTATTTATGAAAAGAATTAAAGTAAAAGAACACAGTTATGTAAAACAATGTAGATTGTTTTATCAATAGTTGTTGATGTCTCAATCAATACTTTCCACACACCGCGACCCTAGCATGTTAATAATTAACTCAGGGATAGATGCTGAATATGTTATATTATGAAAATATTAGTTAACAAACATTAAAAATAAAGCTAAAACCCCTCAAAGTCAGTACTTAAGATTATTCTTCTTTTATGCAAGAAAAGTAAGATTTTTTTCTATAAAATAAGCAGTGCTGTATTGGTCTACTGGTCCAATGTCAATTCCTATCGGGTAGAATAATCCAGCCTGAAATTCAAGATAAAACATGTTAGCTGATGAACTGTGCACCTGCATCAGAATGCATGAGAACTAACTTCAGTGGGGATTAGTTCATTTGGAATAGGGAGAAAATGGATCCAAATGAAATTTCTGAATAGCCAGATATTTAGTTATCAATTGGCTCTGACTCCCTTCTTCTAGTGGATGGGTTCTTTCAGGACATAAGAACATAAGAACGGCCATACTGGCTCAGACCAAGGGTACGTCTAGACTACCGGGTTTTGTCGACAGAAGTTTTGTTGACAATATCTGTCAACAAAACTTGTCGACAAAGAGCTTCCAGACACATTGAGTTCTGTTGACAAAGCAAGCTGCTTTGTCGACAGAACCCTGTAGTCTAGACGCAACCCTACAGGCAATAACACCTTCTGTCGACAGGACTCTGTCGACAGAAGGTGTTATGCCTCGTAAAATGAGGTATACCAGCGTCGACAAAACTGCTGAGTTCTGTCGACGTTATGTCGACAGAACTCAGCGGTAGTGTAGACGCTGGGATAGTTTTGTCGACAAAAGTCCACTTTTGTCGACAAAACTAGGTAGTCTAGACACACCCTCGTATCCTGTCTGCCGACAGTGGCCAGCACTTGGTGCCCCAGAGAGGGTGGACCGAAGACAATGATCAAGCGATTTGTCTCCTGCCATCTCTCTCCAGCCTCTGACAGAGGCCAAGGACACCATTTTATCCCCTGGCTAATAGCCTTTTATGGACCTAACCTCCATGAAATTATCTAGCTTCTCTTTAAACTCTATTATAGTCCTAGCCTTCACAGCCTCCTCTGGCAAGGAGTTCCACAGGTTGACTACACGCTGTGTGAAGAAGAACTTTCTTTTATTAGTTTTAAACCTGCTACCCATTAATTTCATTTGGTGTCCTCTAGTTCTTCTATTTAGGGAACTAATAAATAACTTTTCTTTATCGGCCCTCTCCACACCACTCATGATTTTATAGACCTCTATCATATCCCCCCTCAGTCTCCTCTTTTCTAAACTGAAAAGTCCCAGTCGTTTTAACCTCTCCTCATATGGGACCCGTTCCAAACCCCTAATCATTTTAGTTGCCCTTTTCTGAACCCTTTCTAAGGCCAAAATATCTTTTTTGAGGTGAGGAGACCACATCTGTACACAGTATTCAAGATGTGGGCGTACCATAGTTTTATACAGGGGCAGTAAAATATTCTGGGTCTTATTTTCAATCCCTTTCCTAATAATTCCTAGCATCCTATTTGCCTTTTTGACCGCTGCTGCACTCTGTGTGGAAGTTTTCAGAGAACTGTCCACGATAACTCCAAGATCTCTTTCCTGATTTGTTGTAGCCAAATTTGCCCCCATCATAATGTACTTATAGTTGGGGTTATTTTTCCCGATGTGCATTACTTTACACTTATCCACATTAAATTTCATTTGCCTTTTTGTTGCCTAATCACTCAGTTTGGCGAGATCTTCTTGGAGTCCCTCACAGTCTGCTTCTGTCTTGACTATCCTAAACAGTTTGGTATCATCTGCAAACTTTACCACTCACTGTTTACCAATTGGATTGAAGGGTGGGGGAGGAGGAGGGGCATAGTGGGTCAAGAGGGCCATTTGGACTGGTCCTCAAGCTCAAAGGGGGCCTCAAATTTAGACACTTGTAAATATTTTGGCATTTGATAAGTTTCACAACTTGTTTTTATGTGCATCCCTATCGGACCAAAATGTGACACATTCAGCTTACAGCTGCAAATTTATTCATTCATTTATTTAAAAGGTTTTTACCGCATCTCTCTATTTAAAATATTTGAGGCAGCTTACAAATTTTTTAAAACACAATATAAATATATATAAAAAATTAAAATAAAGTTAATCAAATAAAAGATGTGAAAAAGGCTAGAAAGGCATTTGTTCAATTAAAAATATATGTATATATATTCAGATTATGCGTCACTCTTTTTTGTTGGTGCCTTATTTTATTTTCACATGTCATCATTTTAAATTTTTATTATGGCTAGAGGACCCAAAAGCTGGAAATGACCTCTGAGAGGGTCTGAATGGGTTTCTTCAACCATGTAGTGTATCTATTAGAGATGAGCCTTTGTTGTAAAATTCAAAGCAGACAGTGTAAAGTGTGGGACTGGGTTCAGTTGCTGTTGTTCATACCCATGTCTAGGATGCATACACTAGCATGCTCGCAGACCATATATATTCAATGGAATGTAGGAAGTGACAACACAATGCCAAGTGCACAGACACCTGAGGAATATAAAAACATAGTCTTTCAGATAATTTTGCTCTAAGGATTTGCTGTACCTGAGAGTGACAGGCAGCAAAGACTTCACTGTTGATGATGCTGCACTGCTTCTGTGACCAGGACTTCCTATAAGGGTTGGTGGAGCACGGGTCCTTTGGATAGTTGGCATCAGGACAAGTAAGAGACACTTTCCAGCTGTTTCCAAATTCCAGTACATTTTGTACAACAGACTGACTCCTGGTGGTAAAGTCATTAATGGCATTGCCATCGTAGTTCCCACACAGTCCACAGATCTGGCTCTGTACGCGCACACAAACAAAAAAAGGGTGATAGAAAGTTTGTAGCAACATTGCCAACTAAAAGAACCTCCAAAAATCCCTATTTTGCTTGGCATTTGTAATGGCTTGGTAAAATCCTGATGCTTTCTTTGGCATGTATGTTATCTTAGAAAAACAATCTGTGTTTTTTCCTCAGTAAAACGATTTGATGACTGGTCTGAGGGGTATATGACTAGTAATAAAAAAAAAACCCTGAACAATAACTGCTTAGTTACTGTGCCTATCACTAGTGAGTTATGGCAGCAGTATGGAAATGATGAACCCACTGTTAGCTAATTGCATATTCCATATACAAGGGACATACATAAATTATCCTTACAAAACAGTCATGAAAACGATCAGCACAGGCACAAACGCTTACTTACTTGCGCTTTATCAAAATGATTGACATAGATAAAAATGAGTATTTTGCTTCCCCATCCAAACAATGTCGGCCCAGATAAGTTAGCAGGGCTGAAATAAATACTATGCTGTAGGAAGGAATTTAAAATACACACCTTCCTAGTTTGTGAGGAAAAATAAACGTATCTGACTGTGGGTTACTATTTAGCCGAAGAACTTATGGCTTTCGAATATACCTTTATATACATTTCTGGGGCTGGCTGAATCGCTCCTTGATCCGTTTCCCTTATGGAAAAGTCAGTCATCCTATTTGAAGAGCACACTAAGTACCCATTTCCTATGGTATGTTATAACCTTTTCATAAATCAATAGCTATGAGAACAAACTCTACTATAGTACCATACACTGCCTTTTAATATTTGTATTTGAGACATGATTAAACATACTTCATATCATTTTACGAGAAGCTTTCAGACCTACTGGCAGTTTCATTTCAATCAATATTACTTTCTCACTCAAGAGGTATGATAATGTATCATTTGTGTCAATGATAGTTGGCAACAAACTCCTGCCTTCTTAAGCCTTACCTTGAAATCAGGGCTGAGTTTGATGAAGATGTTGGTTTTCTTATCCCACATTAGAATCAGTCCATTGTTGGTTTCAATAACCAAATACATGCCCATAGAGCGGACCTGGTATGGCATTTGCCTTCCATTTTCTCTTTTAACTACTTCAAGGTGTTCCTCACTCAGTATCAACTCATAGGCCTAAAATGGGGAGAAAAATCAAAGGAATGAATAAGAATCAGTTTTCCTGTAACTGTTTTTTCTTTTGGTATAGGAGATGTCTGCCAACAGCAAATGGGTCTGATCTTAACTATGTATTTTGTCTATTTTAAAGGTAACAATACTAGTTACCCAGCATAGATTAGTAATTATTTATTTTTGAGGCAAATGTGATAACTCTAATTTATACAATTCAAATAATAAAACTTTTTTAATAACATACATTTCAAAATGTTTAAGCCAATTAAAGGAGAAAGTGCTTACAATTATAGAGGCCCTGTAGGGTGTGACATAAAACGATTTATTTTATGTAACTACTCTGAAAAATTGAATTTGGCCCAAGTCTATAAACAAATAAATAAAGAGTTGTAGCATTTTTTTTTTACTTAAGTTGCACTGTACAAACTTTGGACAGTCTTCTCTTACGAAGCATCTAGCTCTTCCTGAGTACCAAATGGATACACAATAAAACTCTTGTTTTAAAAAATGTGCCAAAAAGGCTACTCACCTCTAGGAAGACTTTAATAGACTTAGAGCAGGTGGTCCCAGTGGAACCACAGGGGATGTTTTCAGTGACAACTCGGAAGGTTCCATTGACTGTGCTGTTATTTCCACAGTGGTCCTGAAGAAAGAAATGAAGTTAGCAGATGGATAATTGCCATAGGGAGGATAGAGGTGACTCCACAAATAACAATGCTAAGAGAAAAGCCCAATACCTGAACTAATGTATATTCACAGTCTCCATTGAAGTTAAACCGATTGCTATCAAATGTGATGTAATGTCCATCACCATAAACAGAGCATGTACCCAGGCATTGTTCAGTGGTGCATATCCACTTCCTGTTCTTACACACGCTAAGATGGAGAAGAAAACATTTTAATAATAAAATTACACACTTGATGTACAGGTAATTCCTACCACATATTTATTTAATTCAGTATGTATCAGACCTGGTAAAAAGTTGTGTTCTCTATAATGCTAAAATTCGATTTCTCCAAGCAAACAATGAATGCAAAAGTTCCATACCATTAGTAAGAAGGCGTTATAGCAATATAGGTAATAGTACATGATACTACTACTCAGGCCTGGTACTAATGGGAATCTTTAACCACCAAGACATCTGTGGAAAAGGCAATATGGCAAAACATAAAATGCCCAATAAGTTCTTGACTTGTGTTGCTTTTGTTTTAGAAGGTGCAGGAAGTAACCAGGGGAACAGCCATTTTAGATTTGATTCTGACCAACAGGGAAAGAACTCGTTGTGAATCTAATGGCTAAAGACATGTGGGTGAAAGTGATTATTGCATGATAGATTTCATTCTTCTAAAGAATGGAAGGAATGAGACCAGCAGAATAAGGTTAATGGACTTCAAACTTTTTAACAAACACAGGGAACTGGAAGGCAAAGTCCCATTGGAAGATAATCTAGGGGAAAAGGAATTCAGGAGCGTAATCAGTTTCTTGAGGAGACAATATTAAAGGAGCAACAGCAAACTATCCTGATGCAAAGGAAAAATAGACTAGTAAAAAGCCAATATAGCTTTATGGTGAGCTCTTTAATGAACTGATAATCAAAAAGAAAACCAACAAAGTGAAAAAAATGGACAAATTGCCAAGAATCAAATTGCAGCAACATGTAGGGACAAAATCCAAAAGACTAAGGCACAAAATGAGTTTTCTCAAGCAAGGGACATAAAAGGCAATGAAAAGAGGTTTTTATAAATAGATTATGAGCAAGAGAAAGATGGAGGGCATCTACTTAGCAGGAAAGGAGAGCTAATAATGGACATAATAGGTGTTTAATGCCTATTTTGCCTCAGTCTTAATTAAAAACATAAAATGTGATCAGATAGTTAACACAATTAATATTAACAAGGAGAAAGGAATGCAAACTAAAATAGGAATAGATCAGAATAGGTTGTTAAGTTAGTTATAGTCAAACTGGAGGGCTTGATGAACTTCATCCTACAGTACTCCAGATACTAACTGAAACAATCTTGGAATGATGAGTGATTATCTTTGAGAATTTCTGCAGGAGTAGTGCAATCCAAGATGACTGAAGAAGGGAAAAGGGGAACAAAAAGGATCCAGGGAATTATATATTAGTCAGCCTGATTGCAGTGTCTGGAAATACACTGGAACAAATTATTAATCAATTTATAAGCACCTTGAGAATAGTAGGGCTACAAGTAATGGCCAACATAGAATTTTGTCAAGAACAAACCATTCCATGCCATTTCCTTCTTTGATGGGATTACTGGCCTAGTGGATTCAGGAGAAGCTGAAGATGTAATGTATCTTGATTTTTAGAAAGGCTTTTGACAAAGGCCCATATGATAGTCTTATTCATGAAATTACTATAAATTGTGTGCAAAACTAGTTGAAGGACTCTACTCAAAGAGTAGTTATAAATGGTTCAGTGTCAAACTCATGGGGATGTCTCTAAAGAGGAGCTGCAGGGGTCTGTCCTAGATTATTACTGTTCAATATATTCATTATTGACTTGGATAATAAAATTCTGAGTGTGCTTATAAAATTTGCCCATAACACCAAGTTGGGACAAATTGTGAGCGCTTTGGAGGACATGGTTAGAATTCAAAATGACCCTGACAAACTGGACAAGTGTTTTGAAATCAATAAGATGAAATTCAATAAAGACAATTACAAAGCAAGGGCTCCATTTTGGGCCCGTGGTGGGGAGGGGCAGAAGTCGTGAGCTCCCTTCATGAGCCAGGTGTAAGAGGCATGCATGGAATGCAAGCACTTTCCCCTTGCTCCCTTAGAGTCCAGGGAATGGGATGAAAAGCAAGCCATGTCCCGGAGCGCACGGCTGCTGCCCCACCCCTCACATGCCCAAAATGGCGCCCTTGTACTATATTAAGGAAGGAAAAAATCAAATGCACAACTACAAAAGGAGGAATAAGTGGCTAGGAAGTAGTACTGGTGAAAAGCATCTGGGCATTAAAGTGGATTACAATTGAATATGCATCAACAATGTGATGCAGTTGCAAAAAAGGCTAACAACATATTGGGATGTATGAAGAGATCTGATGTAATTTTTCCTCTCTACATAGCACTAGTGAAGACTCAGCTGGAGTACTGTGTCCCATTCCGAATAGTGCACTGTAAGAAAGATGTGAGGGTATGTCTACACTGCCACCCTAGTTCGAACTAGGGTGGCTAATGTAGGCATTCAAAGTTGCAAATGAAGCCCGGGATTTAAATATCCCGTCCTTCATTTGCATCTTGCCGGGCGCCGCCATTTTTAAATCCCTGTTAGTGCGGACTCTGTGCCCGCGGCTACACACGGCACGGAGTAGGTAGTTAAAATTAGGCTCTCTAATTTGAACTATCGGTACACCTCGTTCCATGAGGAGTAACGGTAGTTTGAATTAGAGAGCCTAATTCGAACTACCTACTCCGTGCTGCGTGTAGCCGCGGGCACAGAGTCCGCACTAACGGGGATTTAAAAATGGCGGCGCCCGGTAAGATGCAAATGAAGCCCGGGATATTTAAATCCCGGGCTTCATTTGCAACTTCGAATGCCTACATTAGCCACCCTAGTTTGAACTAGGGTGGCAGTGTAGACATACCCCGAGAGAGTAGAGTAAAGCAGGAAACGTGATACAAGATTCAGAAAAACAGAACTATGAGGAAAATTTAAAAAAAACATAGGCAGTTAGGGTGCATTTAAACCTCACTGTTATTCTGGAATAATGACTATTATCCTGGAAAAACAATACTAGCGTCCACACAGCAATTGCAGTATTTTGAAAGAAAATCGAAATAATGGAGGGCTTTTACCAATGTTAATAAACCTTATTCCACAAGCTCTTTCAGAAGAGGTTGTGTGTGGATGCTCCACTGCTGCTATTTTGAAATATCTCCTCACCAGGGCCATTCTAAGTTATTCCTTGTCAGTGCCTCCTGGGGCTCTAAATCAAGATAGTGCATCAATATTAGGGAAGCCTGCCTTGGACTAATTGTGAGGCTTCCCTGTAGTGTGGACACTCTATTTTAAAATAAGCTATTCCGGAAGATATCTTCCACAATAGCTTTTTCTGAAATAAGCTTGCAGTGTAGATGTACCTGAAGTCTTGAGAAAAGAAGATAGTGAGGGAACTTTCTAAGAGTCTTCAAATATGCTAAAGACTGTGCTCAATTGTTCCTTGTGTCCTCTGAAGGTTGGGCAAGTGTAATGGGCTTAATCTGCAGCAAGGGAGATTTAGGTTCGATATTAGAAAAAACCTTCTAACCACAAGGATACTTAAGATCTGGAATAGATTATCAAGAAAGGTTGTGGAATTTCCTCCCCCTCCCCCATCTTTGGAAGTTTTTAAAAATAGGTTAGACAAACACCTGTCATGGATGGTCAAGTTATACTTATTGTGCCACTGAAGAGGGGGATTGACTAGATCATATATCAAAGTCCCTTCCACCTCTATTTTTCTGTGAATCTGCTTCTAGGAAAACCTTAAATCAAAAGAATTCCTGGTTCCCACTTTTTGCTTTTACCGTGTGCTTTGAATGACAGAAAACTGTCGTGTTATGGTTAATATATTGAAAGGTCCAGCTGCCAACACAATTCATAATGAAAATTTCTTTTTGCTCTTGTGGTGCTTATGGATCTTTGGAAAAGAAAATGGAAGGGCTCCATGATCCACACAATTCAATGAATACATACCAGGTGTTGCAGTCAACTTTGATCTCTTCCCCTGGTTTGTAGGTAGCCTCATTGTGAATACATGGGCATTCTTCTTCAGCAATACAGCCACCTTTACCATCCGACACGAGACCAGAGGGGCACATGCAACCAGATATACACTGTGTACTGTACTGCAAAGCCGAATAGAAAATGGAACTTCAGAAATTAACTTAGGGTGTGTCTAGACTACAGGGTTTTGTCAACAAAAGTGGACTTTTGTCGACAAAACTAAACCTGCGTCTACACTACCGCTGAGTTCTATTGACATAACGTTGACAGAACTCAGCAGTTTTGTCGACTCTGGTAAACCTCATTTTACAAGAAATAACGCCTTTTGTTGACAGAGTTCTGTCGACAGAAGGCATTATTGCATCTAAACTGTCCTTTGCGTCCACACTGTTATGTCGACAAAGCAGCTTGCTTTGTCGACAGAACTGAATGTAGTCTAGACGCTCTTTGTCAACAGAAGCTTTGTTGACAGTATCTGTCGACAAAACTTCTGTCGACAAAACCCTGTAGTCTAGATGTACCCTTAGAGTAGGTAAGAGTATGAGTAGGTTCTTAGAACCAGTCTCTGCACTGGGTTTAGTTACGTCCAGTTTAAAGCAAAGATGATGTGAAGGAAAATGTTTTGCTCAGACATATGGTTGGTTGCTAAAGGAAGATTTAGTGGAAGATAAACCCATTCAAAGTAAACATGTCATGTGTCCCTGCCTCAAAAGGTGGTCTAGGAATTATGAAAACGTGAAAGATATTGAACTGGGTACCAGCCTTAATTGTGGATGAACCTGCGGATGTGCTGATCTATGTCTGAGTGGATGGAAAGTTTAAAAAAAAACACGTAAGATGCATTTTTCTGATGTATTAAGTTGGGTTGCCACTTGTCTCATGTGATGTTGTCTCATAAAATGACACAGCCAATCAGGCTGCTATCATGTTCCTAGCCTTTGTAATATAATTGGATGTGTAAGAGATTATAAAAAATGTGTCATTGGACATGAGGGATATTTAACAGTTTAAAGCAAAATTACATACAGTAATTTTCTACTGAATGGGTTGTGCACATAGCAAATCTCTGGATGTTTGGTTGAAAACTAGTTCTTGCCTAGGTATTGTTATCTGAATTGGATCTGCAAAATCTGATGCATCTCCAATCAGTACCAATGCGAGAGATTCAAATAAAGCGCACCTTTATTTTCTCATAAACTTGACCTTCAGTGATCCCATTCTTAATGCTTCCAAGGTTTTTGTTGCAACACGTTATCAGTATTGCAGCCTCACAACCATATTTATGAATAAGTCTAGTGTGCAGGAGTGGGAACAAACATTAGCTTTTGGCAAAGGCTATCCCGTTGAGCCACTTCATACTTACACACTGTATGTCAAGAATCTGGCAGCTCTTCTGGCATTCAGCTCCAGTGGTGCCCACAGGAAAATTTTTGCAGTCAAAGTAAACCATGGGAAGAGCACAAACTAAAGGAGAGAATGATATATGAGAGATAAGAAAAGGCACCAGAGTTTTCACAGCAATAGAAACAAAGGGAACTTTCTGGGCTGTGGGTGCTTTGAGTTCTGCATGTTTTCAATTTGTTATACATGAGCTCTTCATAGCTACACTGCAGGGCTACATCTACACTGGCCCCAAATTCCGGAAAAGTCATGCAAAGCAGGTAAGTCAGAATAGGGAAATCCGCGGGGGATTTAAATATCCCCCGCGGATTTAAATAAACATGTCCGCCGTTTTTTTTCCGGCTTGGGGAAAAGCCGGAAAAAAGCGTCTAGACTGGTGCGATCCTCCGGAATAAAGCCCTTTTCTGGAGGATCTCTTATTCCTACTTAAAAGTAGGAATAAGAGATCCTCCAGAAAAGGGCTTTATTCCGGAGGATCGCACCAGTCTAGACGCTTTTTTCCGGCTTTTCCCCAAGCCGGAAAAAAAACGGCGGACATGTTTATTTAAATCCGCGGGGGATATTTAAATACTTGAAAGTAGGAATAAGAGATCCTCCGGGAAAGGGCTTTATTCCGGAGGATCGCGCCAGTCTAGACGCTTTTTTCTGGCTTTTCCCCAAGCCGGAAAAAAAACGGCGGACATGTTTATTTAAATCCGCAGGGGATATTTAAATCCCCCGTGGATTTCCCTATTCTGACTTACCTGCTTTGCATGACTTTTCCGGATTTTGGGGCCAGTGTAGACGTAGCCCAGGGTTTTTGTGTAAGAGGGTTTTTGTGTTAGAGTTCTTGCGCAAAAACGTCTTGCACAAAAGTGTGTCCAGGCCTCAAAGCACATCGTAAAAGCATTGTGCTTTTGCGCAAGAGAGCATCCACACTGCATGGACATTCTTGCGCAAGAAAGCTCTCATTGCCATTCATAGAATGGCCATCAGAGAACCTGTGCTTTTTCTGATAAGGGTTTCTTGTGCAACCTCCCTCCCTCCCGGAGCGCCTTTTTGCTCAAGAGCTGTAGTGCAAAAAGGAGTTATTCCTTGTGGGGAGAGGAATAACTCTACCGCAAAAAGCCCTTTGTTCTGTCGATTTTCTTGTGCAAAAATGTGCTTGAGGTATGGACACACTGCTGGGTTTTGTGCAAAAATCTTGTAGTGTAGACATAGCCATCCAGTACAACTTAAAAAAAAAGAAGAATGCAGTGGCTTATGTGACAGAATGCTATGCATTCCTTAGGAAGTAGCATTTTTAAAATTTACATAATCTTTTAGAAATTGCAAGTCATTATTATTGCATTACCATCATGTTCATTTGTGTGTACTTTATTGTGTGCACTGGATAGAGTGATATTTTATTTTAAATATAGCAGATGAAATGAAGCAACAGTTTCCACTCCATTAACTTTCCTGTGTGTTTCAAGTTGGTTTTGTTGCTCCAAGAGGGAACATACTCAAAAACCAAGGACAGGCTAAGGAGCAAAGAGAAGCTAAAAAAATGGTTTTTACCTGACGTTTGGTTCTGAGCTCCAATGCAGCTCAGCTTACCCTGGGCACAAGTGCTGTAAGCAATAAAGGGGAATAATAATATTTAGTATTTAATATTACCATGGCACCTTCTGTTCTTAGCTCCACTGATTGAGATTGAGAGCAGCAGCTATCTTGCTGTTTCAGAACTTTCCAACAGGACATGGAATTCTAACATGCCACCTTGTGGTTAGAGAAGAGAGTTTCTTATCAACCCGACAGCTGGTTAAATTTCCCTATGATTTCAACTGTAGATGTCTTGGGGAAATTGTGACTGAAAATGTGAGCTCCATTGTTTCTCTGTGAGTTTGATGTTTATTATACTATAAACCTCTCACTGTGTACTTTTGTACTTTATGCTGGGGGAAAATCATTAAATGTAACAGCAATCTTGCCTAAATACAGGCAGTCCCCGGGTTACATGGATCCGACTTACATCAGATCCCTACTTACAAACGGGGTGAGGCAACCCCACACTAGCTGCTTCCCCCCAGCAGACCAGGGAGACGCGGAGCGGCTTTTATCAGCAGACACCTCAGCTTGAGAATAAAGGACTGAGGGAAGTGAGGTGTGGGAGAATAAAACTGAGCTCTGGAGAAATGTTTGGCTAGAGTTTCCCCTGCAATATGTACCAGTTCCGACTTACATACAAATTCAACTTAAGAACAAACCTACAGTCCCTATCTTGTACGTAACCCGGGGACTGCCTGTACTACAGTTCCCATAAGCCTGGAAAAACTCACTGCTCTCAAAGAATAAGAAAATGATTCTGTAGATGGGCATTGTTTTGAAAATCCTGCAGGGCTGGGTACATACAGCTTAACAGAGACAGGGGCGGATATAGGGCAGGGCGAACGGGGTGGCCGCCCCGGGCCCTGCGCTTCAAAAAGCCCCGCGCATGCACCGTGGCGCCACACGGCAAGCGCATGGCGTCACTGCACATGCGCCGGGGCAAAGGGGGGGCCCCGCGGAATTAAGCTGCCCGGGGCCCCACAAAACGGTCATCTGCCCCTGAACAGAGATATATTCTTTTATGAAGAAAGTTCATACAATGCAGTTCTTGCATTTTACAAAAGAATCTCTTACCACACAAGACCATCATCATGAACAACTTCCCCAGCGGAAACAGGAGATCCTTTGTAATAACAAGGACATTTTCTAGCAGCCACACATTTGCCATATTCATCCATGTAGGTTTCTTTTTCACAGGTGCAACCATCAACTGGAATGAACTTGATATTACATGTGATATCAGGCTCACTCAGAGACCGGCAAGTAGGCTGACAGGAACTGATGTCATAGCTGTAGCTCAGGGATTTGGGACACGAGGTTGGATATTTGGCTTGAGAAGGAAAAACAAACCAAATTATATTAACAGATTTATTGGTTCCATCTAATATTATTTGGTCAGGAAAGAGGGGAAACATGTAATATGAATAACAGATAAATAACAAAGCTATAACATGTTTTGTGTATCACATTTTTCAAACAAAATACAGCATGCACAGCATTATATTAAAAGAAAGTAACAGTTGCTGGGGAATAAAAGACGTGATATATGTAAATGAAATGTTGGAAAGGGAAACCACTCATCCTGTTGGCCATTATAACAGAAACCTTAAAACTTTGGTGCACTCTGAAGCATGAGGCCTTCTGAGATAAATAAGTAGATAGTCCTGCTGCTATATTAGGAACAGGCATATCGGATCAAAGAAAGGAGGCCGGTGGCTTTAAACAATCCTTTGTTTAAACATTTTTCTATTTTTGAAGCATTCTGTTTAGAACTAATATTGTTTTTGTGAGCTGACACTTTTGTTTCCATGGCAACTTGCAACAGCGGAAACTCAAGCTTCAAGACTCTGCAGAGAGAGGCAGAGCCATTTCAGCAGCAGTTGTCATTTCCTAGCCATAACCATGTCTTTCACCTGTTTATATTTGCTATAGCTAACTTCTATTATCTTATAAGAAATAGGGAATGATTGCTAGATGTTTACTTTTCAATACTTTTCCCTCAGAATTGAATGGCTTAGCTAGAAATTGATATTTGATTAATAAATTCTATTACTTTTTCTTTCAGAATAGCAGACTGAAGAAATGGCTCTATAAACACTTACAACAAACATCCGTCCTCCATCCATTCAGCTGGATTCCTTTGGCAGCACAGGCTCTCACGTAGGAAGAGAGGGCAGCGCACATACAGTCTTCACTCTTTTTACAGTTACAGGTGTCGAACAGACAGTTCTAGGAGCGCAGAAAGAAACTAACATAAGAATGGCCAAACTGGGTCAGACCAAAGGTCCATCTAGCCCAATGTCCTGTCTTTCAACAGTGGCCAATGCCATATACCCCAGAAGGAGTGAACAGAACAGGAAATTGCTATGTCTACATAGCAGTGTTATTTTGAAATAACATCATCCATGTTTACACAACCGGCATTTATTTAGACATAATGTAGAAATACTGTCAAGCTGGAGGGCTTCTTACTCCAACTCCTGTAACCCTCAGTTTATGAGGAGTAAGGGAAGTCAGAGGAAGAGTGCTCTATTTTGAAATAAGTGCTTGGTAGTTAGCACCAAAACTTGAAATAAGCTATTTTGAAATAAGCTAAGCAATTGACATAGCTCAATTTGCATAGCTTATTTTGAGTTAAGCCCTGCTGTGTAAATGTACCCCAAGTGATTCTACCCCTGTTGCCCATTCCCAGCTTGTGATAAACAGGCTAAGGACACCATTCCTATCTATCCTGACTAATAGCCATTAATGGACCTAACCTCCATGAATTTATCCAGTTCATTTTGAACACTGTTAAGGTCCTGACCTTCACAACATCAGCTGGCAAGGAGTTTCCCAGGTTGACTGTACATTGTATGCAGAAATAATTCCTTTTTTTTGTTTTAGACCCGTTATCTAATAATTTCATTTGTTGACCCCCTAGTTCTTATGTTATGGGAACAAGTAAATAACTTTTCCTTATTAACTTTCGCCACACTAGCCATGATTTTATAGACCTCTACCATAGCTCCCCTTAGTCTCCCCTTTTCTAAGATGAAAAGTCCCAGTCTTTTTAATTTCTCTAATTAATAATCTCTCAAAATAATTATCCTAGAACTGCCCATTCAAAAACTAGATCCTGTTAACGTCTGATCTTATGTATCAACTTCTTCATATACTTTTACTTGTGAGTAGTGTCAACATACCTTTAATATTTTCATACCTCCTTTTAGGATTATTTTTTAAGGTGATGATAATGGAGATCTCCAAATAATGACAGTTTTTATTGTAAAATAAGAACCTAAATATGTGTATTATTCTAAAGTTATACTTTGGGGTAAGAAAAAATTTATGAGGAATTTGTATATTTTACATACTTTATATGTGTAACGTCCTCTTCATATATTTACATTTTGGTTTACTTTCTCTGTGGCAAATTGCATTTCTACTTTAATGTAGAGTGTAAGAACAATTAAGTGTGATGAAACAAAGAGTGCAGACTGAAATAAGGGTAGGTTACATACACATAAAGTAAAAAACGTATAAAAGGAAAAAGAAGTAATGTATTGTGCAGATTGAAATATAGACACAGCATAATCTGAGAGATGTATTTGGGGCATTTCTTTCCAGACAGCTAGTTTTAAGTCTCTAATTTTGATTCACTCTTAAAGAAAAAGAAAAGTAGCTAAGTACCGTGTGGTAAACAGTTGGATTCACTGTGGAGTGGCATTTGGCAAAAGGCCCACTGCTGTCCACCAGCAAGCCACACCAGTGTTGAGCGTACTTTTCTGTGAAGAGAAGAAATGAAAGGAATGTGTGTTACTCTCCTTATTTTATTAGGCTCAAAAACTTGTGGCTAATGTGAGCTGTGAATTCTTGTAAACTTGGATCTGAAATTGTAACACAGCAACCACATTCTTTTGCTCACTGCAATATTTGGCAAAGACTTGTTAAAATCAAAACCAAAAAAGCAGTTTCTCACCGTGGATTGGACAAAGAATTCTCCAAAACCTTATAAACATAGAGGTATTTATACACTTACGGCATGTCTATATTTAGGGCAAGATCGATACTCTGTAGGTTGATCTTCTAGCATTCAATTTAGCAGGTCTAATATAGATCCCAAAATCAGAAGCTGAAGGCAGCCCCTGCCAGCATCTGGTACTCTTCCTTCTGAGAGGAGTAAGGGAAGCCGACAGGAGTGTTTGCTCCTATCAGCCTCCCACTGTGTGGATGGGCTCAGCTTCAGGTAAGTTGACTCCAACTACACATTTTGTGTAGCTGGAGTTGCATACCATAAGCCGACCTGCCTGGTCTAGTATAACATAGACCAGGCCTTATTCTACACCAAGTTGTCATCTTGTACACTAGATCTGAAGTGACAACTGTGAAGATGAACTGTTGTTGGACATTATCCATGATTCTTGCAATTATTTTGTTTACTTTCTCCCCAATTTTTTTTCTTTATTAGCATTTCTTCCTGATTCCAAATGTATGTCTTACAATGTTTATAATCTCTCAATTCTTGTAATTTTTGCTTTAAGTCAAGTATTTTCCATTAGCTCTCCAGGGGAAAAAAACCTAGGAATCTAATTTTAAATTACCTGCATGTCATGGAAAATTTTCTATAATTCATTTACCATTTTGTACACTGAGGGCACAAGGGTTCTCAAAGTTGTTTTGGATGTTAGGGCATGACGCTTGCGTTTTCCAGGTATTAGCGAATGCAGCTGCTGTTCCTTCCACTACACCACTTATGGCTTTGAAGTCGTCAGCCTCAATACTATTGAAGTTTCCACAGAGACCTGTTCAAAAAGCACCAAGTTGAATCACTCATATAAGACCAGTGTGTATTTCAGGCAGGTCACTGGTTTTGTTACATTCACTTACCGCAGGTCTGCCCTTTGAAAGATGGATCCAGCCGCACAAACACTTGCATGATAGGTACAAGTTGTACCTCAATCACGAGTCCAAAGTTTGTCACCACAAAGATGAAGAAGGTTGAGGGTCGGAAAACGATGACATTAGCTATGGATAAAGAACAGGATCATTAGTTTTTGGAAGAGGTCAAATGTTGCTAACGGAAACCCTTTGTTATGACTGTTTTTCTTGGATTACTGTTGCCACTATAATGAACCCTTGTGTGGAGTGAAGTCAAAATATGTCTAAAGCTGAATAAGATTTGCTTGTGACTGCATAGGAGTGAGCCAGTGAAATTAGTGTTAAAGTTACAAAGCCCCTTTTGTCTTCTCCTTCCCACAGAAAAATGGAGGGAAATATTAGAACATAACAACGGCCATATTGGGTTAGATGAAAGATTCATCTAGCCCAGTGTCTTGTCTGCTGACAATGGCCAATACCAGATGACCCAGATGGAGGGAACACAACAGGTAATAATCATATGATCCCTCCCTGAACATCCATTTTCAGACAAACACAGGCTAGGGACTTCATTCCTTCCATCCTGGCTGATAGCCATTGATGAACCTAACCTCCATGAATCTATCTAGATATTGGATTACATCAAGCATTAGCAAGAAAAAATTATTCTAATTTCTAATCTTGTATCTTGATCATTGCAAATCCATTATGGAGAGAGGAATGAGTAGGGTATGGGTGGCATAAAAATCTTCAGTGAGGATCATTCTTTATGAGGATAGATAGAACGAAACTAAGTTAATATAGTGAGTTGGACAAAAGGCTGTAATGTATCATGAGACTTTGGATCAACATTTGGGTCAGGAATCATCTAGGGTAAACATGCTAAGCTATGGGATTCTTCAATATACGAACACCACATCAACTCCTCTGAAGCTTAACGTAATAATCAGGCATCTAAGTAAAGTTTTGAGAATGTCACACATTGCCCCTGGGAGAGAAACATACGTGCTGATACGGGCAATTGAGTGTAGATCCAATTCACAAACACACCGCCTCCAGATTTGATCACAATGATCTGGGAAGGAAGATAAAGAAAAGGAACATTATGTCATGCCTTGGTAATATCAGCATGATAATACAGTTGAACTTCTCTAGTACGGCACCCTGTGGACCTGACTGGTGCCATACCAGAGAATTTGTCAAACCACAGGAGGTCAGTATTGTCTAGCAGCATTACCAACACTTCTACTGCTTACTGGGCTCTCAGAAGACATATATGGGTAACTTGGAACTAAATAACTTCACAGAACACTGAGCACTAGAACTGGTGGCTGTAAACAAACTTCATGGAACCATGGGAAACTTGGCCACAACCATTTTGACTGGACATCTGGCTAACTAAAATCATGCCGGACCAGAGAGTGCTGGACAAGAGAGGTTCAATTTGTAGAAAGGGACAAACATTTTCAAAATACATGTTGTATTTGCCAAATTATTTCAATAAAAGAAAAAAGTTGAAACCTTTAATTTGGATATATTCAAAATTAAATGTTTAGATTTGTTGATTTCAAATGATTTTGCAACTTCAGTTTTATTTTTTTTAAATAAAATATACTTGAAAATGAATCAAAATGTTTCATTGTGTCTTAAATGAAATGTTCTCTTTGACCTGAATTGAAAAATCAATGATTGACACCATTCGATCTCTGACACAGTCGGGCTTCCCCTCATTTTTATAAAGCCTTCTTACCGTATTTTCGACACTTGTTTTGAATACTTACAGTTTGCCCTCCATTAATGCTGAGGGCTATTGTCTTTAAGCATGTCTCAGTGAGTGTCAAGCCACAATTGCTCAGCTCTCCCAGAACAGCAAAAGTTTCATTTTCACAGAGCTGAAAAAAACAATACCAACAACTATTGTTTGCAAGGCTTGTTCATGAGTCTGAAAAATATTTATTTTGTAGAGATGGGTCCAAACTTTCCCAGTGCTCAGGGCTACTTGAAACTTGTGTTATAGTTAGAGACTGGGACTAAGCACTGAATTTGGATTTGGTTCTGGTTTTCAGATACAAAGTTCTGATTCAACCACTGTTAAAATATTTGCTTCAGTTCCACTTTCTTTCCCCCTCTTTTCCTGAATTGTATGGCAGTTTTGAAAATAGACCAAATACAGCAGTTGATTGTAGCTATTCATCATATATTAATGATTACCACATCTTGGAATTTGAAACACATCAGCATTCATGACTTGCATGTCAGGACTCCCAACATCACAACTAGTCAATACATTTGGCATGCATTACTATATATCCTTGTGTGATGTAGTGGGGGGTACCTTGCTGGTTGCTATGCTGGGCAGTGGGTTGTGAGTGACCTCCACTGGCTGCCATCTGCAGCATGGCCCAGCGGGGCAGGGGATGAGTCATTATGCAAGGGGGCTTTGAACCTGACCAGTTATCTTCCAGGGTGCGGAACAATGGGAAGAAGGGGAGTGGAGCCCTGACTGGGGGTAGGGCTGGGAGTGAGTTAGTTAGGTTTCTGGCTGGTATCCGGCTGGGATTTAGGGGGCCCAGGCTCCCTCATTTCAAGGGGGGCTGAGGCATCCTAGGCCTGCCCTGTAACCAGATTACATCTGTGCTGTGCTGTATCCTGGAGAAGCAATAAACTCCCTCTATTCTACTGGCTGGTGAAGTCTGTCCGTGCCATTACGGGGGTGCAGGAGACGGGAAAACCCCAACGTGCCATCACACCTTGCTCGGTACACCTGTTTCTATTGCTTTAACAGGAAACTCTACAATGTTTTTCCCTTCAGCCTTCTCTCCACTTACCAGGAGATCGATGCTGCAGAGATCGATCTCCTGGGGTTCGATTTAGAGGGTCTAGTAAGGACTTGCTAAATTAACTACTGCTTGTGCTCCTGTCGACTCTGGTATTCCACTGGGTCAAGAGGAGTAAGGGAAATCAATGGAGTATGTCTACACTACCCCCCTAGTTCGAACTGGGGGGGTAATGTAGTCATACAGAGTTGCAAATGAAGCCCGGGATTTGAATTTCCCGGGCTTCATTTGCATAAAGCCAACCGGCGCCATTTTTAAAAGCCGGCTAGTTCGGACTGCGTGCCGCGCTGCTACACGCGGCACGAACTAACTAGAGATTCTGCCAGTGGAGATGTGGCAGAAATTTGAGCTAAAGTTACGTTAATTTGAGCAACACCATTCACATAGCTCAAGTTGCGTATCTAAATTTGACTTTCTCCCCTAGCTTAAGTGTAGGTCAGCTTCTCTAATCCTGAATGAGGCACTCTTCCCACTCCTTCCTCCATATAACTGTAAACGACTTTATCACCTATTAATAGCTGATGGTGTTTACCTTAGAGAGAACATAAGTGCAATCTCCATGGACATTGTAACGTTTTTCATCATATGTAGAGATGTGTGAACCTCCCTCTACTGTGCAAGATCCAGGGCATGGAATGTCTCTGCATTCCCACTTGCCTCTATTGCAGGTACTGGAAGAAAGGTGGAGAAATTAATCACCATCAGTGATAATAGCCTGGAGGGAAGGAGGTACAGTGCTAGTAAGTTTTGTGGTTTTGCCACGGATGTTCCCATCAGATTATTCTTGGCTTCTTCAGAGGAAATAAATATTTGCAAATATGTGAGTGGCTGCAATTTCTTTTGTCTTGGAGAAGTCAACATATGTCAAGGGAGCAAACAAGGAGCGAGAATTTTAATTGAAGGTAAGAAATCTATATAACACAAATTCGTATCTTAACTTGAGTCAGAATGCAAAGCCTATTAAATAATGACACTAAAGGAGAGAAAGACTGGTTTTTTAGACTGAACTAGAATGGCAGGGAGCTCAGTAACATGCACTCAGAGGTTGTTAATGATGAAATGTATGTATATGAAACCATTAAACTAGTTCATTTTACCAAAAGGAAATGGCAAAAGTAGATAAGTTACCAGGACTTGCAAGTGGTGTTAAAAGATTTCCCTGGAGCATAAGAGTGGCCATTGTAAGTACAGGAGCACGTCTCAAAGGGAATGCAGCCAGTATTGTTAATGTCATCAAACACAGTTCCTAAGTGAAGACAGAAATTGATACATTACAAAAGGATTTTATACATATAGACAATATGCAACTTTTTTGTTTTAAATAGTTGGCTACAAATATAAAATACAATCTTGAAGCAAGATCATCAGCTGTTGTAAATGGCCATCGCTCCACGGAAGTCAGGGGAGCTATGACTAATTGCACCAGCTGAGGATCTTGTCCTTGGAGTCTTAAATCCTCATTGGACTTTCTAGGCATTACCGTCCCTGTAAGGTGAACTCAACTCAATGGTATTGAGTTGCTGTAGAAAAGCCACCTCATTCCTATGAGACAGGCATCGATTTATGCTGCATTTTGGTTCCTGAGTGTTCCTCACCTCTTGGCAGATGTTGCACATCTTCAGGAAATAAATTATTCAGTCATGTGTTTTGTCACTGGTTGTGCCTAGAGAAAGGCCTACCGCTTGAAGTTGTGAAGCGAGCAGTTGGAGGAGCCCTGACCCCTGAGAGAGCTACTAAATGCCTATGTGTAAATCTGATGGTGCTCTTTACTGAGATTATGAGAGTTGGAGGTAAATAAAAACTTGCCTGCAGGACAGAAACAGCCATCCACACAATGGTCTTCACAGATTTGAGATCTTTCAAGATTGGAGCAAGTGTCAGTGCAGGGGGAGCCACATTCCTGGTACTGCATATTGAAAGGACACGTCTTGGCTGGAATTTTAAAAGACGTGAAATTTCAGAATTCAAATGTAATTCCCATCTCCTGTGTATTAGAATGCATATTCATTCAACCTTCACTACTAGAGATGAGGCCACACCAAACCCGAGGTCCAAGGTTCCCTTGGATTTTGGTAATTCCAATCTATACTTTGTAGTTTGTTTTTCAAAATCTTGTGCATCAGAGAGAAACATATAACCCTGAGCTTGTGACCTGAAGTCTGGAATTCTATGGACTCTTAGTAAGTGTCTGAAAGGCTTATACTCTGGTGCATTTGTTTTGTGGTCCCCTCTTTTCAAGAATCTAAATTTCTAGTGAAAATTTGGGTGTTATTTTCCTAGTGCATATACATATTTAAGTTCTGTGGAAATCACTGAAGTATCCAAGTATATCTTGAGGAATTTACTCTGGAATTAACATTGATAAATATTGCTGAACACAGTTTAACCATGGGGAGATCAGCTGCACCCCAGGATCTGGTCCCAGTTATAGAATTCATATTAGAGCCCTCTGGAATCCACCCTTGTACTTACTAACATTTAATTCCCATGAGTCCCCAACAAACTACAGAACACTGTTGCTGACTAATAGGCAAGCACAGATGATGGCCATTCATAAAGACACTTACGACATAGTTCTGGTGTTCGCCAGTTCTGAGGATGCCCACCGGCATGGGCGCATTGCCGGGAGTATTCACCAAAGGTGTTACAAGTACAGAAGTCAGTAATAGACTGGTGACAGTTGCATAAGTCTATAGCACAAGACTTAATGTACTCTCCAATCTCAACTAGTGAATTACATGCTGAAAATGCAGGGCCAGTCAATACTTGGTGGCAAATGTCATCCTAGAGAGAAAACAAAATGAAACGATGTATTAAATCCACAAATTCTTCCAAAGAGAGAGGATGAATTAATACTGCCATCCACTTGTTAAAATCTTTATTTAATGACATCTTGAAATCTTCCTCTGCCTGCAATCCAATCCTAGTTTTCATCAAATGCCCTTCCTGAATCAGGAGAAGAGAGTGGACACATTTAAATGAAAGACACATCAATAAACAAAAAGATCCTTACAAAATTGTCTGTGCAGTTGTTTAGGGGGGATGGGTTAGGATTCTCGCAGACTTCTGTTGGCCCATCTATCTTCTGCATATTTCCAAACTCTGTGGCAGTAAGCTTGGCATCTAAATAAATACATTAATAATACATAGGGTTTTCAATGGAGTGGGTTCTCTTTGAATTCTTTCATGCAAACATGTAGACAAAATGAACACCGTGACACCGTAGGCAAAATTAACTCTGTGGCCACCGTAGACTCAATTTACTTCAAATGACTGTATCCTTATGTGAGAAAACAATTTCAAGAACGTACAAACTGAAATTTGTGTTGGAAAATGACAAACTCATTCAAAGTTAGACAGGCCCTTAGTTAAATAACAGAGGAGAAAGTGATAGACAGGTTATGAATAGAGCATACTGTTGTGAGAGACAACTCAGGAGAAAAGGTGTGATTGAATAAATTGCCTAAAAGCCATGCAAGCTAACCAGTGATACTAAGAGTGAGAAAAGAGAGGTAGATGGATAGAGAGCTAAAGGTGTATAGCCAGCTGATTGGAAAATTACAGAGAGAGAAGGGAGTGATAAAGATGGGAGAAAGTAGTGTAAAAATTATGTAAATCAGTAAATAAATCTAGATTTACACTGGAATAGGATCAGGCAACTAAGGACTGAGATGTGCTGATGCTTGCATGTTAATTATGGGCAAATACGTGTCTGTCAGGCTTTGCAAATGTAGTTTATATATTAAATTATACAAATATAATTTAGAAGTGACATCTTGGAGTATGATAATATAGAACAGTCCTGACTAGAAATTGCTATGATTACTTTAGTTGGTCTCATTATTGTGTTTTGGTTTGTGGATGTATTATTATATTTAATCTTGCTTGAAAATCAGTATTTGTCTCTCATTTAAATGGCTAACAAATGAAATAAATAAACAAATGGTATACATGAATATTTATATGTATAAATTTACTTAATTCCCAAATATGCTGATGTTCTGAGCAAATCCTTCAACAGGAGGGAAGAGAGACACGCTGAAGGCGTACAGACTTCAGGACAAAAAAAATGCATGTGTAGAAACTGGAGCTACTGGAAACCAACCATTTGTCATTATTTTTAACACTTACTGTTTGAAAAGAACTCATTGTAAGTTGGAATACCATTGTAGTCCCCACAAAGCCCACAGGTATAATTGGCATATTTTTCATTCAGTTCCAGCTAAAAGTATGGAGGAAAAATGGAGATGCAATTTAATACACATACTCTACAATGTATTCAAAATAAGTGAAAACAGCTGTGTCTGCTACACCTAAGTAATTTTTATTGGTTCTGTGTAAATGTTTTAGGAGACCAATTCAAACCTGGCTGATAGAAAGTGGACTGGGTTCAGATATGATTTCTGATTCATAGAAAGCAAGTTATGTATGTATACCGAGTTTTCACCGCATTATCTGTATTTTATCCAGCCTTTTTTCTATCCATTGGTTTGTTTGTTTTTTTCAGAAAGAAAATCAAATCCACTATGAAACTGAAGTCCTAGGAAAGTGGAAATCTACTGGAAAATAAAATTTGTGAGGGTGAGTGGTGTAATGTAATGACACTGCTATATTAATGATGTGAGGGAAGTGCTTTTACGCAGAAGACCTGATTTCCACTAGGAACACAGCACAAGTGCTTTCTTCAGGCGTGAATGTAGCTCTGTGTAGGGAGAAATAATCTGTACTACAGCAGGGGAAACAATAGCCCCTCCCAACTGTTGGGAGCAGGTATATCCAGAGACCAACCATGTATCTCCATACCACCTCTTAAGATATAAGGTTATGGCCAAATATTTAGACAGTTTGTCTTTTGTACACATTAACCTATTTGATTTGTGTATGCCCTGGCTGTTTGGGTGCGTCTAGACTGGCAAGATTTTGCACAAAAGCGGTTGCCAGCTGTCTACACTGGCCACTTGAATTTGTGCAAGAACACTGATGATCTAATGTAAGATTGTCAGTGTTCTCGCGCAAATACTATGATGCTCCCGCTCAGGGATAAGCCCTCTTGCACAAATGTTTTTGCGCAAGAGGGACAGTGTAGACAGGGAAGAACTGTTTTGCAAAAAATAGCCCCGATGGCGAAAATGGTGATCGGGGCTTTCTTGTGCAAAATCGCATCTAGACTGCCCATGGATGCTTTTGCGCAAAAGCACTTTTTGCACAAAAGCATCCGTGCCAATCTAGACACTCTTTTGCGCTAATGCTTTTAATGGAAAATCATGCCAGCCTAGACGTAGCCTACGTGTAAACAAATATGAAACCAGTGCGGGCAAATGGATGCCCAAACAAATTCTCTGATCACCTAAAATTGAATCCAGTCAAACAGTTGACTCTAAATATTTTAATAGACCATTTCGTATTCTCTGAAGCATGTAGAACTTATTCTTACCAGGATGCTGTCATCTTCATTCCACATGAACAACAGGCCCATTTTAGCAGTCACTTTTATGTACATGTTGTTTCTCTCAGCTGTGATTCCAGACTGGCTGTAAGGCAGCTGAACCCTGGAGAAAAGGCATCAGAGGTGCTAAGTATTTTTATGCCACACAGACTAAGAAGAAAAGGTCGCTTGTGGTATCAGGTGTCCATGTGGGTTCTTCCACAATGCAGTCTTGTGGAAGAAAAAAAAAGTGTAAGGAAAAGATAGGCAAGCCACAAAATATGGAACTGGATTCAAGCTTCCTCAAAGTTCAGGGGTATTTTGATCTGGTGTTGTGGTTTGGGCCCATCTCTGAAGGGAAGTACTATTTTATAGTGTGACATCTTAACATATGAATGCTGAGATGCTTGTATGATTAAAGTTACCTGGCTTATCAAAATATAGGGCTGTTTTCCCAAGAAGGTGTTGAAATATGTACCCGATTTGAGAAAACAGCTATGTTAAGCAAACCGCGATGTGACTAAACCTACCTGTTGCCATTGACAACAACAAGGTTCTTTGCCATTTCAAAAACCACCCCATCGAGCTTCATGGTAATGTAGTTGATAGTAGGAGCATTCTTCACCACAGTGCGCCTGATCTGGATGTTGAAGTCCTCATAGGCAGCTTTGCAGTGGGAGGCATAGACATAATTGCAGAGCCCAGGGAAGTAGAAAATGTCCCCATCAAAGGTCTTGTAGTGGAAGTTGCCCCACGTACTGCATACGCGGCCATTGTGAGCAGGGTTGAAGGCTGTGGATTGAAAACTCCCTGTAAGAATTGACTATGAATTCCCCACATTAACATGAATATTTTAGACTGCTCAAGCCTTCATTTCTTCAGTTTATTCACCACTGTCCATTTCCATTTGTTACTTTCTGTCCGTTTATCAATTGTGACACTATGCATCATTTCGTCCATCTATCCACTTGCTTATTCAACCCATTTCTGTTTTCCCACTCATCGATTGTCTGGCATATATCTGCACACCAATCTATCTAGAAATTAATCAACTCATTGGTTTGCCATCCTATTGTGTTTATCCAGCTATTTGTTCCTTACTCCACTTATCTACCTATCTTTCATTAATCAGTCTTTATTTATTTTAGCTTTCTGATCAGCACTTCAGAAAGGTGGAGCAATTTTTGAGACTATTTGCTTAACTTACATGATATTAGAAGATTTGTTGTCAGTGGTGGGATTAAGTTCACTGTTGTAGCTGGAGCATTAGTAGTAGTAGCTGCACACAGATAAGAAAAAAAATCATATTACAGAAAATTTATGGATGGTGGTAGTGGGAGGAATTTATTCGCCTTATATGGTAGTCATTTTTTTCCGAGAATGTGAGAAAGAGACACTTGCTTAACAGTAGGATGCAAGAGAATAGGAATATAGTGTCCCCAGCTTAGTCTTCATCTGTCCATATCAAAAAGTCACCTGTCAAGTTAACACTATCCAATAGAAATAATTTGGGCAGAGGTAGATCAGATATTTCAGTTTACCCTGTCCAATTAAATAAAACAGCAGCAACAACAACAACAACAAAACCAAACCAAAAACAAGGGAAGAATCAATATAAATAAGAGGTGGCAAATTCAACTCACAATAAAGCCAGGAACTCATTGCCACAATATCACTGAATCTCAAAGAGTTTAACAGAAATAAAAAAAAGAATAAGATATTTATAAAGATCATAAGAATAACAAGAATTATAATAACAGATATTAATCCATACATAAAATTTAGAATGGATATAAACCCCCATGTTGCAGAGCTTCAGACTACCTCTAGTTATTGGGGGTGAGAAGGAAAAATTTCCTTGGGAGCAGGTTACCCTATAGCTGTCTACTGCAGGATTCCTTGCACCTTTTTCTGAAGCATCTGGTACTGAAGAGTGTCATTGAACTTGATGGACCATGGGTCTGATCAAGTATAGGATAGTTCCTACATTTTTATGAAATCATAAATGTAAAATTCAACAACAATCCTAGTGGAAAACCCCCAAAATAAAATGTTTCAAAACATTTTACACTGTTAGTGAAATCACAACATTTCACGATCGTTATTATTTTGATTTAATCTTCAAAGCCATCTTCATCCAAATGATAGTTGTACTGGCCAGAGACAATATGAAATTCAATCAATCCAATTATATACAAACATTAAATATTGAATGGAAATAGCACAACAATAAAAAGACACAAAAAAATCTTGTTTAAATACCATTTAGAAGGCTTGCAAAATAACAGAAGTAAAACTGTTTAAAATATATCAGTATCAAGCAAATTAAATCAGACCTTTTCTGTTCTTTTCCCCGAGGAAAATGAAATGTGAATGGGTTCTTACCTGTTGTAGTGGGACAACAGACACCTAACATAATGGTGCATATGGAGACCCATATCCCCCTACCAAACTCCATCCTGAGTGGAGTTTGGCAAAAGGATATTGAGTCAGCTGTTGGTCAGGAGAAATAGTTCACCTGTGCTGTATGGGTCTTATATAGCAGGAAACTTTGGCTTCACTCTCAAATTGTTTCACAGGGTCTGTGAAGGTGGGGTTTTGGAGGTTTTAACAGAGGCACAGTAAACAGAAGATGCTCTTTTTTTTCCCTCAGGGACTGACCAAGCATGTTTACATTTTGGGAGGAGTATTATTTTTCTAAAGGCTTAGTCTAATAAAGGAACATAAAATGAATGGCAGTAGAACAATTCCTCTCCCATTAACAGCAGATCCTGGAAAAACAGTCAAAGATCTTTTTAGTCACTTTGTGGTTTTTTGAAAGACAGGCAGGTCACCTTTTGGGTTTCTGGTTACTGTAAATGATACCAGTTACCTCTCTGGTGAAAACCAGTTCTTCCTTAGCCGTCAAGAAGAGGCAACATTTCAACATAGGAGACCCTCCTTGCTTTAGAAATTATTTGATGTTTCATGATGTGGGTATGAAATAACATGAGAATGGCTATACTGGGGCAGATCAATGATCCCTCTATCCCAGTTCCCTGTTTTTGGACAGTGGCCAAAGCTAGGTGTCCCAGGGATAATGAATAAAATAGGCAATCAAGTGATTCATCCCCTGTTACCCATTTCCAGCCCCATCAAACAGAGGCTAGGGACACCATATCTGACCACCCTGGCTAATAGTCATTGAAGGGTCTATCATCTAACTCTTTTGTAAACCCTGTTAAAGTTCTGGCCTTCATAATATCTTGTCAACGAGTTCCCCAGGTTGACTGTATGTTATGTGCAGAAATACTTCTTTTTGTTCGTTATTTGATAATCTATAAAACTATACATAGATTAATAAAAATCTATACATTGATTTTGCTGAAGATGGGAATCCTTTATATTCAGTTTCAACCCTTTCACATTCCCTTGTAAAAATACCACATCCAAAATGGGTTCCAGCATCAGGTGACCTGGCCACATGTCTTGACAGGACCAATCATAGTCCAAACTTACAGGAAAAGCAAGGCTATTCACAGATCTTTGTCATGAGTACCGGGCCATTGAGTTCCTTAAATACGACTACTGATTCGACCTCTATGGTCTGGCACCAATTGTGGTTTGGCATCCCCGAGACTGCATCTGGAATAGGGCACTCACAGGCTAAAGTCAGCCCCTGCTCAGGGAGTCCTGCCTATCTCTCCCAAACTACCAATGCACTGCAAGCTCAGGAAAGAGAGGGGGAGAAGCGGGATGGGAAACACTTAAGGGAAGAGGCAGAATGGATGTAGAGCCCCACAATTCGGGGCCAGGAGTGTAGCCTCGCAGCTCGTGCTGGGGTTCCGAGTGCAGGAACCTTAATGAAGGCACTTAATGGAATATGTTATTAAACTAAAATGAACAAAAGAACTTTGGGTATGTCTACACAGCAAAGTTATTTCGAAATAACAGCTGTTATTTCGAAATAACTTTGCTGTGTAGACATACCCAAAGTTCTTTTGTTCATTTTAGTTTAATAACATATTCCATTAAGTGCCTTCATTAAGGTTCCTGCACTCGGAACCCCAGCACGAGCTGCGAGGCTACACTCCTGGCCCCGAATTGTGGGGCTCTACATCCATTCTGCCTCTTCCCTTAAGTGTTTCCCATCCCGCTTCTCCCCCTCTCTTTCCTGAGCTTGCAGTGCATTGGTAGTTTGGGAGAGATAGGCAGGACTCCCTGAGCAGGGGCTGACTTTAGCCTGTGAGTGCCCTATTCCAGATGCAGTCTCGGGCTGCACATGACCCAGTGGTCCCAGCATGAGCCAGGCAGACAGTGCCAGCCAGCCCTCCACTGCTCTCCAGGACCCATCTGCCAGCTCCCAGGAGCCTGTCAGGGGCTGGAAAAGGCAGGAGCCTGCCTGGTCCAGTGCAGGGATCAGTGTTTGGGGGGATGCCTCTAACGTCCATGATCTCTGCACTAAACAGAGGAACGCAACTGTCTATGGGAGGATAGCTGCCAGCCTGGTCACCAAAGGCCACGTGTGAACCCAGGAGTAGGTTCGCATGAAAATAAAGGAGCTGCGGCAGGCCTATGCCAGGGCCACAGGGGGCAGCTCCCAATCGGGGCAAACCCAAACCTCTGCCCCTATTTTGATGCTGTGGACCGCATCCTGGGGGGCAGGATGGTCCTTGCCCCCCAGGTGGTCATCGACTCTGGGGCAGAGCTTGCTGCCTGTTGCTGCTCCAGCCCCTGCTGCTTTCCCAGCTACAGCTCCTCCTCCCACTCCTTCTCCCCCTCCTATTTTGATGCTGTGGACCGCATCCTGGGGGGCAGGATGGTCCTTGCCCCCCAGGTGGTCATCGACTCTGGGGCAGAGCTTGCTGCCTGTTGCTGCTCCAGCCCCTGCTGCCTTCCCAGCTACTGTGCACCTCCCACTCCTTCTCCCCCTCTCACTTCTTCCTTCCCACCCCCCCAGGCATGCCGAAGCCCCTGCACCTGTGGTGCTGGGAGACAGTTGGCCCGGCGAGCCAGGTCTTGAGCCCTGAGCTTCTCCTCCCCCTTCCTCTCCTTGCCTCCCCCTGCCTGCTCCCTCCTCCCAGGTTTCCCCCGGCTCTCTCCTACTATCCCTCCTCCCCTCTCCCATCTTCTTTCCCCAGTCTCACCTCAGTTTCATTCCCCTCCCACCCCAATTTTGCTCAATAAAGAGGCTTTGTTGTAATGAACACATGTCTTTTATTGTACAGCAGGAAGGGAGGTTAGGGAGGGGTAAGTGGAAGGACATGAGGAAATAATGAGGCACAAGCCTCCAGTGTGGCACCCAGGGATACTGTTACTGCCTGTAGAGCATGCTTCCAGGCTCGAAGCAACACGTCCAGGAGAAGCACCAGAGTGCCCAGGGGAAGCTCTGGCTCCATGCTGCAGAGGCCTGTGGTGTCCTGAGTGAGGGCAACCAGAGCATGCTTTGCTGTCCCTCAGTGAGGTAGGCAAGCAAGCAGGGAGACCTGAGAACTGGCTGTTCGGGGGTGGAGGGTGGGGAGTCCCTTTAAGCACAGACCTCAGATAGCCTCAGGCAGCAGCCCCACACAGTAAGTACTGACCTGGTGCCCTGCTGGAACTGGTTCCGGCCAGCCTTAAATGCAATTCAGAGTCCGCTCAGTCTGGC